CAGAATTCTGGGAGTTGAAGTCCACACATCTTAAAGTTGCCAACTTTGAAAAACACTGACTTAAATAAATAAACTGCTGGGGAAACCTTAGTGAAGAGTTGAGGAACAACCCAGAAAATGACATCTAGCTTGCCACGAAAGCTGCTTTGGGGTCCCAAAGAGGAAACAGAATAAAAATACACTATGCCACAAATTAAAATCTTGGGTGTTTTTCTTCCCCATCACAGCTTGATTATTTCATAGCTTTCCCATTCCTAGTCTTTAAGTAGGAAATTTATGGTTGCTGTTTTTCTTTTTAGTTGGTCAGTAACCAAGCAAAACCTTTTCTTTATATCATCGTGATCCTTACAGTAACGGTTCCTCCGATGCGCCCAAGAGAGCCTCGTCTAAGGCGGATAGAAAGTATTTTGGTTCTTGGGACCATTGAGGGACCAAGATGGAGCAGCTCTTTGAAAGCTCTGGGGTCACCCTTTGAGGTCATCCAGGAGGAGAAAGATGGGGAAGGCCTTCCAGAATTCAGGTAGCCCTGAGCATGTTGGAAGCCCTGAAAGTATTTCCTTATGCAGTAGCGTGGCCCTGAAGATGCTGACTTGGGAAGCAGAATCCAGAGGGCCAGCTCTGACCATCAGAGCTTTTGGTGGCTTGGAGCCCCTGTTCTTGGAGAAGCCTGTTCATTTCCCAGACATTGAAACCCGGATCCAGAACTCTTCTCTGTTTCACCCCCACCCCCAACTGAGAGGTAGCTGTGGTCACCCGGGGGGCAACCCTTGCCTTGAATGGATCTCGGAGCCTTCTGAGGTCTCTCTGCAGCCCGCTCACAATGTCCTTCTTTTCTCCTACGTTTTAACATCTACTTGATTTTTGAAGAAAGAAGTGGTTTTCTCTTGAAAGAGTCTCTGGCAAGCTAATTTGATAATGGGGTTGACGAGCAAGTGAAACAGCCTCCAAGGGCTTTGCATTGTCCAGGAGGCAACATGCCTGTCTCCCGGGCAAGCAGGTGGCACCCAGCCAATGAGACTTGGCAGGCCCCTGCCTTCAGTGGACGCCTCAGCTGCTCGTTTCCATCTGCTCACCTCTTGGCTGGTCCCTGGAGTCACGAGTCGAAGGGCGGGAAGCGGAGGAGCTGAGCACCGGCCCCCAGGCCTGGGGGCCTTCCTTGTAGCAGCTCCAGGAGGCTTCCCAGAGTTAGCACATTGTCCATTTTTAAAGCCACCTGATGAGAGAGCAAGCTTATCGACTGCCTAGTTAACATCAAGGAGAAATGTAAGCAAATCAAACTCAGTTTTTCTTCTGGCTTCATGCGTGGCTTACATGGACCCCCAATGTACTGCTCAAAGGCCAGATGTGGACAGCGGTCAAATAGGTTGCTCGGCATTGCGCTGTTGTGGTGCAAGCCTCTCCCTCCCCATTTTGCACGCTCACTGCAACATTGTACAGTTGTCCAAAAACGGGTGCAGCTGGTGGGGTGACTGTGATGCTCTGCCTCCTGCCACACAAGGGGGGTCAAAAAAGTCACAATGGCCAGGGGGCTTCAGTTGCACAATCAGGGCTGCTGTCGTGACTCTTTTGACCCCCTCCCCTGCAAACATCTTGCTCCAACGGATTTAAAAGAGCTCCGACTCTTAAAACTCCCCCATCTTATTTTTTTCAAACTTGCACGCAAGGCTGAAGAACATGACGCTGCCTTAAGGCATAGCAGAGGGGGGCTGCATTGACACCAAGTTCAAGGCATGTGTAGGGAATGACTTTGCGAGTTTCTGCAAGGAATGCCTTTCTCTAGACACCCGGGAATCAAGCATGTTTTGTCTTTCACGAGCAGGTGCCTTGCAAAAAGAGGAGATGGTTTTGCAAGAAGGACCGTTACAGCCTTTGCAGAGTTTCTTGGCCATCAGCCACCTCCTCCGTGCAAGAGAGGAAGCTGCTGATCTCAGAGCCGCGAGTGCAAGCCTTTGCTTGCAGCCTGAGACGCAGCGGGGAAGTGTTTGTGTGGCTCATGTGTGCAATTGTTCTTTCTCAGCCTCCTGGAAGATTGCTATGTTATAAAGGACCCGTTCACCCCCGAGAAGGACAGAATCCTTATCCTTGGAGCACAGTGCAGTCTGTGTCACAAGCGGGTGTGTGTTGGCCCGGTAAGTGTGAAGTGATCCTGCTGCATTTGTACCGCTGAGGTCTGTGTCTTCATCTGTGACCTACTTACAGTGAGACCGAGATAGACAGCCAGCTTCTCTGTCTTCCAAAATGTCATTCCATAGTATGGGCTGGGATATTTTTAAACGAGTACTGTGGACGTTGGCCATCAGGGTCAGGCAAGTTTCAGCTACCCTGCTTCGTTCATTGCTTTTATGCCACTAGGTAAGGCTGCAAAAGCTCCAGACAGCCAGCAGGGGGCAGGAAAAGACATCCAGAAAAAGGGCTCTGGGGACCCCTAGTGGCCACGTGGGTTGTTGCAGCCCGGATAGAGTGTGCTTACCACCTGGAGAGGGTCCTTTCAGACCAGGGACATTTGTGCTGCTCCCTAGAGTTATCTGATGTCCCCGGATTATGCTAACCTCCCAGCAGATTTTTGGCAGTGTAGACATTTGAGGCCTTTTTAACATTTGTCCAGGCAGTCACCAGGAGCCAACACTGACTCAAAGGCAGTAAGTAAGTAAGTAAGTAAGTAAGTAAGTAAGTAAGTAAGTAAGTAAATAAATAAATAAATAAATAAGGCATTTAAAGACCTCAGTGGGGATGATTCACCGGTTTGGAGGCTGAACATCCCCACAAGGATCTTTAAGCATCCCCAAATGCAAAAAGAAAAGGTTCAGTTTCAGCCCTGCCCATCCAGAGGGGTCCAAAAGGTCAAGATGGCGTGGTTGAGGGCATGATCTTGATTTTTTGATGCCCCCTGAAGCTTTGAGGGAGCAAAATGCTTAAATGCAGCCCCCTGTTGCTAAAAGATGTCTCCCCGCCCCATGCCTAGGCTTGATGACATTTGCACGAGAGTGAAAATAATTCCTCTTTATTTCTCCTTTCATGAAAGTTAGAAACAAGCCACAGGTTTGGTGGCTGCAATCTAGTTTCTCACTCCAGGGGATCTGAGAACTTGGATGAAGTCTTCCCCCGAAGCCAAGATCAGGTGCATATTTGAAAGCAAGATTTGGTTGTGACTTAAGAATCCTGCCTTAACTCTAAACTCCAAACTTTGAAAGGAAGAATCCTGGTTAACAGAGAACTGAACCGTAAAACTTGCGGAAGGGATTTTGGGTTAATGCAGCACCGTTCAGGCATATCTGAGTTTACTAAGCCAGGATTGCAAGCTTAGCGCAATATGGCATGTGGGCCAGGGTGTGAGTCTCCCCTCCACTCCCCATGCCGTCCAGATAGTTTCTTAATTCATCCTGTACTTTCAGTTGCTGGAAGGTTTCCAAACTGTAGTGACTTCAATATTTAAACCAGCGTTTTTCAAACTTTGCAACTTTAAGAAGTGTGGACTCCCAGAATTCTGGGAGTTGAAGTCCACACCGCTTAAAGTTGCCACGTTTGAAAAAACATTGATTTAAAAGAATAAACTACTGATGAAGCATTAGGGAAGAGTTGAGGAACAGCTAAGCCTACTACAGAAGTAAACGTTACACTATGAATTAACCCAAGATACAGAACGGAATGCCTGGATGTGGAGAGTAACTAAATGATCACACCCACACCCCCATGCACACACACCCCTCTGTTCCAGCCTCTCACCATGCAAGGTTTGCTTCAACTTGTTTGGCTTGGCCAGGCACAGGAGACAGTCTCAGATGGGCTGAACGGTCTGGCTCGGTTGGGGTCTCCCCAAAGAATCCAGGAGTTATTCCATGGAGCTTTCTTCAGATGATCCTGACTAAAAGGAAGACACACCAGAGCAATGTTTCTCAACCTCAGCAACTTTAAGATGTGTGGACTTCTGGGAGTTGAAGTCCACACATCTTGAAGTTGTCAGGGTTGAGAAATGCTGCACCAGAGTCTGGGAGAGAAAATCAGAGTGGGTGGAATTATATACTTCTTCCCTTCATTTTGATCCAACCTGATGGAAGAGGGTGGACTCCCATGGCTGGAGGTGGTCAGGC